CCTGTTGCGATGGGCTCTAGAACCTTGCATGAAAGACGTTATTCCCAATTGGATAAAGAGGTAACTGCTATCATTTTTGGGGTAGTTAAATTTCATAATTACCTGATGGGAAGGTCTTTCACGATAATCACAGACCACAAGCCTCTGCCTTCGTATATTTGATCCTCAAAAGCCAATGCCAGCGATCCTGTCACCTCGCTTAACTAGAATTGCGTTAATACTTACGTCACACAACTACAAAATTGTTTATAAGCCAGGTAGAGAAATTGGGAGTGCTGATGGTTAGTCGATGGCCACAGCCAGTTCCAGATCAACCAGAACAACAGCTTTGTGATGTTTTGCTTGGCAGATGATGATTTTCCAGTGGATGTTGATCTCATAGCATAGGCAACGAAGAGAGACCGAACTTTATCACGAGTAAGTCACTATATACTAAGCGGTTGGCCGGACAGAGTCACGGACAGTGAACTGCATCTGTATTGGTTACATCGTATCGAACTCTCATTACATGAGGAATGTATTTTATTCCGTTGCCGCGTAGTGATGCCACCATCGCTGCGTGAGCCTTGTCTAGGTGCCTTACATAAGACACACGTTGGTGTCGTGCAAACGAAGGCATTGGCAAGAAGCCTTTTGGTGGCCACAATTGAATCATGACATTGAAGTTTTAGTGGGTGAATGCTCAAAATGTTTCGAAAACAGACATATGCCCCCTAAAACAAGCTGTGAATGGATAACACCAACTAAAACGTGGTCTCGAATTAATGTAGACTTTGCGGGACCTTTTCAAAATAAGACATTTCTGATTGTCTTCGCACATATAATCTACAAAAACAATTTACATGATTTGGGAGGTGGTGGAGAGGGAGGCGGGGAGTTGTAGAGTTGCCTCCTACCTCCACATCCTTCCGGACATGCTTATTTTTTTTAAATAAATTTTTAAAAATCTAATTTTGAGGTTATGTTTTTGTATTGTTTTTGACTATAAACTTGATTTATGTGGGGAGAGAGTTGGGGGAGGAAAGCACTACGTAGCGCAATCGATGGAAGCACGGTACTTCTGAGTGGTTTACAAATAAATAACCACGAAGGGGGTGGCGGGTTCAAGTCAGCGAGCGAATAGACCCAACCTGTCCAAGTCGGGGTGCCCTAAGTACCGAGCTCGCTTCGCTCGCTCTTGCACTCAACAAAACGCGAATATATTAGCTTTTATAATTACTTTAAATTATAAACATAATATATAATACAATAATAAGCACACTACGGCTCGCACAGGTGCTTGCGATTTGCTACGACAGGGGGGGCTGCTCTCCCTCTGCGCCTACAGCTTTACAAAAACACTTTAGGAGTAGGGCAGACAAGACTACGTGGATTCGAGGCGTGCTGATTTAATTTTAGTACATATTTGAGCAGATCAGATATCTATAAAGTCAGGTTGCCTTAGCTCCCGCCACAGCCACGAAATTCTGTATGCTATCCAGCTTTCACAGTAATATCGTATAATTTTTTCTCAGAAGAATAAAAAATGTATTTCCATACTTTACGCATTTTAGGTTATAATAGTTTTTATTTATTTTTTCGATAACAGTGCACTACTTTTTAATTAGAGTGGTATTATTATAATCGAGGACCAAACTTCTACCAAATAAATCAGCTTACTCCCCCAAATTCCTGCCAAAAGATTCTAAATCCAACCCAACTATTCTATGATAATGCTGTGTTATATTTGATCTAATTTCAAATGCATTTTATAATTTCAAACCATTACATTTTTGGCAAGAAAATATACATAATGAAAGATGAATTTTGAAAATCATTGATGAAAGAATGATATTGATATGAAAATATTTTTAGGACATTTATAGGAGCTTAGAAAAAATGTTTTATGCTATTTGTAATCTTAAATATATAATTAAAAATCATACTTACATAGTTTTATGCTTTCCATAATAAAAACTGCCATGTATAATATGTTTAGAAACTGGCATTTTCCTGTCTATAAATAGAAATAAATAAAAGAACATTTTATTTTCTCTTTCCTTCCCATACAAAATTAAATTAGCATGTCCAAACTGAGATGTTAAGGACGCGTTTACAAAATGGATAGGTATAGAATCGCACTACTACATTGACAAAAGTCACACACACACTAGTGTACGCACGGTTGGCTGTGGGAATCGTAGTCAAATGAAATTATTTTGATAATTTGAAAGATTGAATGTATTTTTCATTTCTTATACCTACCTCAGAAATATACTTCGATACGAAATATGAATACCTGCTCCAAAGACTGCTTGGCAGTGGAAGCCCTCTACTGGTAGTGAGATGTTAGCTCTGGACTTTGAACTGGTTTTGTCAGTTATAATAAGACCTTACCTACCTGCGGACTTGATGGAGTGACCTGAAGGTGTAATTTGGTGATTACAACAATAGGAACTCCTAGACTAGTGGAACTAGGTGTGCCGAGTTTGGGTTCGTTTTGTTGGTTATGATGAGACCTTACCACCGGACTTGATGGAGTGACCTGAAGGTGTAATTCGGTGATTACAAGTGGAACTCCTAGACTAGTAGAACTAGGTGTGCCGAGTTTGGGTTCGTTTTGTTAGTTATGATGAGACCTTACCACCAGACTTGATGGAGCGACCTGAAGGGGTAATTCAGTAACTACTGCTGGAATTTCTGAACCAGTAGAACTAGGTGTGCCGAATTTCACTCCATCAAGTCCGGTGGTAAGGTCTTATCGTAACTAACAAAACGAAACCAAACTCGTCACACCTAGTTCTACTAGTCTAGGAATTCCATTTGTAACCACCTGATTACACCTTCAGGTCACTCAATCAAGTCCGGTGGTAAGGTCTCATCGTAACTAACAAAACGAACCCAAACTCGGCACACCTAGTTCTACAAGTCTAGGAGTTCCACTTGTAATCACTGAACTACACCTTCAGGTCACTCCATCAAGTCCGGAGGTATGGACTCGTCATAACTAACAAAACGAAGCCCAAATTCGGCACACCTAGTTCTACTCGTTCAGAAATTCCAGCAGTAGTTACTGAATTACCCCTTCAGGTCACTCTATCAAGTCCGGTGGTAAGGTCTCATCGTAACTAACAAAACGAACCCAAACTCGGCACACCTAGTTCTACCAGTCTAGGAGTTCCAGTTGCAATCACCGATTTAGACCTTCAGGTCACTCCATCAAGTCCAGAGGTATAGACTCGTCATAACTAACAAAACGGAGCCCAAATTCGTCACCCCTAGTTTTACTCTGCAAGAAGTTCAAATAGCGGTCACGAAAGTACACCTTCAGGTCATGCCATCAAGTCCAGAGGTAAGGTCTCATCATAACCAACAAAACGAGCCCAAATTCGGCACACCTAGTTCTACTCGTTCAGAAATTCCAGCAGTAGTTACTGAATTACCCCTTCAGGTCACTCTATCAAGTCCGGTGGTAAGGTCTCATCGTAACTAACAAAACGAACCCAAACTCGGCACACCTAGTTCTACCAGTCTAGGAGTTCCAGTTGCAATCACCGATTTAGACCTTCAAGTCACTCCATCAAGTCCAGAGGTATAGACTCGTCATAACTAACAAAACGGAGCCCAAATTCGTCACCCCTAGTTTTACTCTGCAAGAAGTTCAAATAGCGGTCACGAAAGTACACCTTCAGGTCATGCCATCAAGTCCAGAGGTAAGGTCTCATCATAACCAACAAAACGAGCCCAAACTCGGCACACCTAGTTCCGCTCGTCCACGAGTTGCAGTAGTAGGTAAGTTTATATATCCTACTTATTTTTAGCTAAATAAAAACTGTGAGTATAAAAATAATAATTTTATCACTTGTGAAGTACTTATGTTTCCAATTTGTTTTTTTCTAATATTTTGTGTATGTACAGCGATCTTTTCAGAATGAGCCGCTGCAAACAGGCGATACAGTGTCCACTCACGACGGCGGCCGAGCCCGGACTGTGGTTTCATCGAAATCTTTGTACAATAAATCAAAGCAGGCACCAACAATAAAATAGCCCTTATTGCAATACATTATGATTCATCCATATTACCAAAATATGTGAAAAAATGTGCATCAGTTTTTATTTTTTTTACGACTATTTGTGACATTTTGTTAAAAAATAAACACAGGGTTTTTTAATTGAATATGTCTGTCATCTTATAGTATTTTTTTAAATTTTTAAATATGTTGATAATAGACCAAAACATCTACCGAAACACAAGCCGGTATCGTTAATTTTGTAGAAAATGGCAACGAAAGTTCGTTTTTACAATATAAAAAACTACTATTTTCAACAAAAGAGTTACAGACATTTGCAGATGAAGAACCAATCTATACATGGTAGTTTTTACTTATATTTGATTTGGTTTAGTTTTGTCACAAAATCTACCGAAAAACACCCTAATTTTGGTTGATTTGCAAACGCGTCCTTAACACAAGCTTTTTTATTTGTTTATATGGGCATAGATTCATACTCATTCCAAGACTAGGGTAAGACAGAATCATGCCTATGAATTCAAAGTTTAGATGAAATCAATAACTAGATCAAACATCTAATTGATCCTGTTGCGAAATGTAAAATCAGTGACAGTAGGTTGAAGTACGGCTGAGGTGGCCCTTGAACCTACCCAAAGCCGCGAATATCTAGTTCATCTTGTCAGACTTAGGAAAATAACTAGTTTTAACCCTTGAGAAAAACCAATTTGTCCTAAAATCGGGTTTAACTGGTAACAAAGTGCTTTTGACTGCAGATTTTATCATAACTCGTTTTGAACCTAAATTAATGGAAAAATATCCACGTTTGAGATATTTAAGACAGTGACTGACTCTTCCCCGCTACCCGTCTATATTAATTTTTTTTAACAAAACGCTTTAGAATTGACACAAAATTATGATATAGTCAAAATATTAAAAGTATTTGCGGGAAAAGGGGTGGGGGGATAGTATTTTACAAAACCTTTAGGTACCTATAATATATAAAAAGGATACTTTCTAATGTTAAGAGATTTGGTAATTTTGTCTCCAATTTATCCCCATCCGTCGACAAATGATTTGTATCACCACCTTCACTTTCCAAGACCACCATGGTAACTAACTCGATCACTAGACTACAATCCGTGTTTCATAAAAATGATAAAATTTACGTAAATTTAACTTATTTCATCGTCCACAATGAAACACGTCACAAAAACACAAATTTGACATTGACAATGATTGTTGTTACGATTAGCCAATTTTGTCAGATAAAGATTTTATAGCATACAGCCTAAGACTATACAACCTAGTGTAATAAGGAATTATACCTATTACACTACCGTGAATCAGGGTCTCTACGCCCTGATTCGAGGTAGTGTAATAAGAGTAAGGGAGTAAGGGTCCCAAATTAGGGTGTTAAAGTGGACCCGGTCTGCAGTGCCCTTGCCACCGTGCTGTGTAATAGGGATGTTCAATGATCATCGATGTTAGAAATTAAAACATCGATGTTGCCACATGTTAAACATCGATGTTGCCAAATGTCAAACATCGATTTCAATGAACCAATAATGGGTTAATAAGAACTTGTGAACAGTGTGAACCCACGAAATCAATATCAACTAAATATTTCATATCCTATTGAAGATTTGAAATTTGAATAATTCAGTATTCCTAAATGCATCGATCATCTAATAAAATATCATTATGTTGTATCAAACTCCCTGTCAAGTGTGAACTGTAATGTCATAGTTCTCACTGCTTACGCTTTATTATTCTGTGGTGTCGTTGTTGGTTATTGCTTAATAACTATTTTTCACAAATTGATATTCAAATTAATTGTTTTTCCCTTGCTGTCTTATACACACATAATTTCGAAACAGTATGTATATACACAATTCAATTATATTTAGCCGTTTTTTGAGCTTAGGATAAAGGGTTTATTGTTTGTTTGAATTTTATAAAAATAAATCACCGGGCGATCGTGAGCATAGACAGTTTCATTGCTTAGTACGTTCTACAGTGCATTTTATAAACGGCTATGGATACTTACTGGTTGGGCGGCAGTCCCCGGCGGCACCGCTATTCCTGGCTACGGTGGCGACCATGGTAACGGCGGGGCAGGGGGTGCTAAGAATCTCCGGTGGAGGTTCGGTTGCCACCTACGACGACTCGACCTGGCAACATTTAACGCACGCACCCTGAGGACTGACGAGAAGATCCTGGAGCTGGAAGAAGAGATAGACAAGTTGCGCTGGAATATTATAGGATTATCCGAGATCCGAAGAGAGGGGGAGGACACGGTGATTCTCGAATCCGGCAACTTGTTCTATCACCGGGAGGGCGACCATCTGTCCCAAGGAGGTGTCGGATTTATCGTCCACAAGTCTCTCGTCAACAACGTTGTAAAGATTGGGAGTGTGTCGACGAGTGTCGCGTACCTGATACTCAGAATCACCAAACGGTATTCGCTGAAGGTCATACAGGTTTACGCACCAACCACGGCACATTCCGATGAGGAGGTGGAGGAAATGTATGAGGATATTTCCAAAGCCATGCATTCCTCCAAAACCCACTACGCGGTGTTGATGGGAGACTTCAACGCAAAACTAGGCACAAGAGAAAACGGTGAGCTGAAGTTAGGAAAATTTTAAGTAGGGCAACGGAACCGAAGGGGCCAGCAGCTGGCCGCCTTTATGGAGAAAGAGGGACTCTTTATGATGAACTCTTTCTTCCAGAAACGGCCCCACAGGAAGTGGACCTGGTCGAGCCCCGACGGTTCGACAAAAAATGAGATTGACTTCATTATGACGACCAGACGCCAACTGTTCAGTGATGTCTCAGTGATCGCAAGGGTGAAAATTGGCAGCAATCACCGAATGGTTAGAGGCTCACTGAACCTAAACATTAAGTTGGAGAGGTCTCGTCTAATGAAGTCGACGCTCCGTCCCCCCTCGTGCTCTAATCCAGAATCCCAAAAACTTTCAGCTCGGGTTACGTAACCGCTTTCAGTGCCTACAAGATTGCAATGCAGTGGACGATATGAATGACAAACTCGTGGAAACTGTCCATGCGGTCGGAGCTAAGTTCTGCAAGACCCGCCGCAGAAGAACACAAAAACTCTCCGATCACACTCTTAATCTCATGGCTGTTAGACGGGAGATGAGGCTGCAATCGTCAACAGATTTGACAGCATACAGGCAACTGAACAGACAGATCTCCAAATGCATACGGCGAGACTGACGCAACTTTAATACTTCTCGTATTGAAGAAGCGATCGAGCGGAACAAGGGCTCCAAAGTCTTTGTCAGAGATCTGTCTGCCAGTAAGAGCCAACTGTCAAAGCTGACTGACTGAGTGTGGCAGCATCGTTTCCGGGACACTTGAGATTTTGAGATTTTGAGAGGTACTATGGGCAGCTGTACACATCATCATTGGAGCCACACGCAAGTGTGATTAACGATCCAAGAGCAAGACTTATCCGACACTATTCCGATGATATCCCGGACGTCAGTCTAAACGAGATTAGAATGACTCTCCAGCACCTTAAAAACGGCAGGGCCCCAGGCGAGGATGGAATTACAACGGAGCTTCTGAAAGCGGGTGGAACACCGGTACTTGAAGTCCTTCAGAAGCTCTTCAATTCCGTCCTCCATGGTGGCACTACTCCAGAGGCGTGGAGCAGAAGTGCGGTGGTCTTGTTCTTTAAGAAAGGCGACATCGCTCTCTTGCAGAACTACAGACCGATTTTCCTGCTGAGCCGCGTCTACGTGCTGTTTTCGAGAGTCATTACGAATCGTCTCGCACGCAGACTCGACGACTTCGAGCCTCCCGAACAAGCCGGTTTCCGAAAAGGCTTCAGTACCATAGACCACATACATACCCTGCGGCAGATTGCACAGAAGATCGAAGAGTACAATCTGCCACTTTGCCTGGCGTATGTGGACTATGAGAAAGCCTTTGATTCCATCGAAATTTGGGCGGTGCTACAGTCCCTTCAGCGGTGCCAAGTTGACTGTCGGTATATCGAAGTGCTGAAGTGTTTGTACAGTAGGGCTACGATGGCTATCCGAGTACAGAACCAGAGCTCGAAACCTATCCAACTGCAGAGAGGTGTAAGACAGAGTGACGTTATATCCCCGAAACTCTTCACCGCTGCATTGGAAGACGTTTTCAAGCTACTGGACTGGAAAAGAAACCTTCGATTTGCCGACGATATAGTCCTTATGGCAGAATCACTGGAGGACTTAAGCACTATGCTCAAGGACCTCAATAGTGCCTCCCAACGGATAGGTCTTAAGATGAACATGGACAAAACTCCATGTCACACCTATGCCGGTAGTTGTTGGGAGCACTATGCTCGAAGTTGTTGACGAGTACGTTTATCTGGGACAAATAGTCCGACTAGGTAAGTCCAACTTCGATCGCGAGGTCAATCGACGGATTCAACTCGGCTGGGCAACGTTCGGGAAATTAAGACATATCTTCTCGTCAGGTATACCTCAATCTCTAAAAACTAGATTGTACAACCAGTGCGTGTTGCCAGTGATGACTTACGGATCTGAGACGTGGTCCTTCACTGCTGGCCGTATGAGGACGCTCAAGGTCGCTCAGCGAGCTATGGAGAGGGCTATGCTCGGAGTTTCTCTGTGTGATAGACTCAGAAATGAGGATATCCGCAGTAAAACCAGAGTGACCGACATAGCCCAACGGATTAGTAAGCTGAAGTGGCAATGGGCCGGCCATATAGCTCGAAGAACCGATAACCGATGGGGAAGAAAGGTTCTCGAGTGGCAGCCTCGTACCGGTAGGCGTAGTGTAGGACGACCCCCCACTAGGTGGAGTGACGACCTGGTAAGATATGCAGGAAGTCGATGGATGCATGTAGCTAAGGACCGTGCTTTGTGGCATTACTTGGGGGAGGCCTATGTTCAGCAGTGGACTTGTGAAGGGCTGTAATGATGATGATGATGATGAGTAGCGAAATAAATCAACCTTGCAATTCACAACAATGTATTGCATCAAATCAGTATAATAATTCGGATTTGGCTGAAATTGAAAATTTTCACATATTAGCCTTGACGAGACCAATAGAATAAAAATTAATTGTACGAAACTTTTAAATTTACCACATATCCGTATACCTAAACTAAAAGCTGTCTTTAGGATAGACACTGGTAGTACTAGGTCATTTATTAGTCCAGAACTAGCAAAAAAATATTATAGTGATTCGGTACACTTAGAACCGTTTGAGGTTATTAGTACTCACGCTGCCAGTAAACACGGAGAAGTTGTCTACGCAAAGTTACCGAGTATCTTTCATAGTCCACAAAAACACAAGTTTTATGTATATAGTGTAGACGAAAGGTACGATGGGTTAATAGGTAGTGATCTCTTAAAATTGCTTGATGCTACCATTGACACGAAAAACCTCACTTTGTATACAAATAAAATGTCACAAAAAGCTTCCATATGATCCTTCCAAAATATCTAGAAGATGAAAGCATAATGTAGCTTCTATTGCTACAGTCAAGTCGGGTTATGCTAGGAGGCAGTTTACGGTTCGATCTGCTTATTTATATAATAAAGTTAATAAAGTTTTAAACATTTACCAAATGACTAAATACAAGTGCAAAATGAGTTTGACAGCACTATTAAAAACTTGGAGTTATGATAAAACTGAGTCTTTCCTACAGAACTCAAACTAAGACATTCTTGGATTATATTTTACACACAATAGAAGTTTGATTTAAAAATAATATTTTATTTAATAAAATAGGAATGATAAAACTCACCTAAACTTAATCCTTTGGGGCCTTAATCTACTCACATAAACACACACACGCACACACACACGCACACACACACACACACACACACACACACACACACACACACACAACATACACAAATACTTTTAAATATTGTAAATCCTTGTGTACCATGTAAAATTTGTTGAGAAATGTTATATTTTTATTTTTATTTACTCTTAATCTGTGTTTTAGAGCAACTTTAAAAATCTAAATTAAAAATATGTTTTTAGATTAAGTATTGAAGTAAGTAGGTATCACATTAGTATTCGTTAATCAATGTTACGGAGAGGGAGGATTTCTA